GAACTAAAACGAACAATCCTAAAATTTGTATGGAACCACAAAAGACCCCACCCCAATAGTCAAAGCAATCTTGTAAAAGCAAAGCAAAGCTGGAGGCATCACAACTCCAGACTTCATGTTATATTACTAAGCTGTAATAATCAAAACAGATGGTACTGGTACAAAAATAGACACATAGATCAATAGAACAGAGTAGAAAATCCAGAAATAAGCCCACAATTATATGGTCAATTAATCTTCAACAAAGCAGGAAAGAATATCCAGTGGTGAATAGGACAGTCTCTTCAACAAATGGTGTTGGGAAAACTGGACAAAAACATACAAAAGAATGAAACTGGACCACTTTATTACACCACAGGCAAAATTAACTTCAAGTTTGATTAAAGACCTAAATTTGAGACAAAAAATCATAAATATCCTAGAGGAGAACGCAGGCAGTAACTTCTTTGACATCAGCCATAGCAACTTCTTTCCAGATAGGTTTCCCGAGGCAAGGGAAACAAAAGCAAAAAGAAACTATTGGGACTTTATCAAAATAAAACGCTTCTGCACAGCAAAGGAAACAGTCAACAAAACTGAAAGACAATCTATGGAATGGGAGAAGATATTTGCAAATGACTCATCCGATAAAGGTTTAGTATCCAGAATATATAAAGAACTTATAAAACTCAACTCCCCCAAAGAATCCAATTAAAAATGGGCAGAAGACATGAAGAGATATTTCTCCAAAGACATACAGATGACCAACAGACACATGAAAAGATGCTCATCATCACTCATCATCCAGGAAATGCAAATCAATCTACCTACCGTGAGATATCCCCTCAGAGCTGTCAGAATGGCTAAAATCAACAACACAAGAAACAACAGATGCTGATGAGGTTGTGAAGAAAGGAGAACCCTCTTGCATCATTGGAGGGAATGCAAACTGCTGCAGCCACTGTGAAAAACATACGAAAGTTCCTCAGAAAATTAAAAATAGAACAGCCCTACAATCCAGCAATCACACTACTGGGTATTTACCCAAAGAATAGAGAAAACACTAATTCCAAAGGATACATGCACCTGTATGTTTATAGCAGCACTATCTACAATAGTCAAGATATGGAAGCAGCCCAAGTGTCCATCAAATGATGAATGAATAAAGATGTGGTGTAGATACACAATGGAATATTATTCTGCCATAAAAAAGAATGAAATCTTGCCATTTGCAATGACATGGATGGAGCTAGAGAGTATTATGCTAAGCAGAA